AAAAAAACCAACATTTTAGTGAAAATCTGATTCGTCTATTAGATTCTACCCCATGTAAATGAGTTGAGTAAAAGCCAGTGAAAAAATCTAGGAAAAGTAAAATATTTTATTGATTGAATAAATGATTACCACAGATATCCTAGCAATTTTTAATTAAACTTGCTTGGCTAATGTCAGAATATATAAGAATAAAATTAAAAATCGAATTACAAAACCTAAATATTTTGAATGCGCTTAGCATTCATCCACTTAAAGACAAAAAAAAAAACACTTGCCTGTCGAAATATAATTTCTAAAGCTCTTCTATCGCATTTCTGGGCAATCGTTCGTACAAGGGCAGCCGTCAGCGATTTGCTGAAGGTGAAATGAAATAAATGCACAAAGGAACTGTGGAAAAATCTTCACCAGTCCGCGCATTCTCCTATAAAATGTCGGAATTCCACTTTTGTGTAGATATCTGTTACAAATTTAGGAAAAAGATTTATTTTTGCTGTTGCCGTTCGACCGCCGGACGAGTAGCGCTAAGCACATACCATAGCATTACAGTGTTACCCCTCTTCCTCTAATATAATTTCTGTTGATTCATGGCACATTTGATTATTGCAACTGCACTGTGAACCTCAAATGAGCTCTTTAAAGCCTTTCATTATTTACATTCCCTTTACATTTCATATTTACACAAACAGGCTTCCTGCCTTCGAGTGGCACGTGTCGTGCATCTTCTACAACCGCACATTTCCTGCTGTCAGCCAGTAGATTGCATGACAACTGACTTTACTTAACTTCCTTTATACCTACTCGTAGCCTGCTTTCACTCACCATAGTCAGCATTGCAAAAGTGTGTCTGCGGATGGCTGGGCATGCAACTGCACGCCTCCACTGGACTACTGTGAAACGCCAACAGTGATAGCAGCATCAGTGCCAGTAAACTCAAATATTTTCTAACATCCATAGTGGACAGTTATTGATTTTATACTTGATTCGTATTTCTATGTATGTATTTGCTTAACGCGTTGTTTATTCAACTGCTTATATAACTGTAGCTTTGCCTTTTTAGCTACTGTTGGCAGGCGATGAAGTATTTAATGCGCTTTGAAAGAGTCACCAACTGTTACACTCCAGTATTGCAGAATGTTCTGAAATTAAAGAAAAAAGGAGAATAAATTTTGAGATGCTTTTATATTTAGTTTTATATTTAGTTAGGAGACTGAAAGCCATTTATGTTATGTCCTTTATTGATAAATATAATTTAAAGCTATCATAGAGTTTTTATCACGAGTGCACTGCAATATGAAGTGTATTTACAAAAAAAAAAAGAAATATAAAATAAATTTCAGTACGAAAAAATTTTGCATAAGTGTTTAATAGCATTTCCGACTGTGGTATTTGTTCTTCATCACTTCATCAATCTTGAAAATGTCAACTTAAGCTCAATGTTGTGTTCCGATATCATGTCTGTTTACGAGTAGGTGTCACACAACATTATTATTATCATGTCAACTACAGAAAACACTAAACAAGGCTTCAGGGAATTTTTTGCTTTCAGAGATATGCTTGTGTGTGCTTCAATGAGTGTGGACAACTATTTGCGATGTGAGGGGATATAATATAAGTACAGCGATTTAGTTATTAATCTATCTACATCTAACTTAACAGGCATGGCTAGGGCACGTATCCTTTTTCCGACAAAAAAAAACAGTATATTACTGCGCGAAAATTTTCTTTCGCAGTATCTCAATTTTAAAATAATAGCATTTTTACGGTACATTAAAGAAACAGTTTTCCAATAAATAAAGGAATTCCTGGTATGCTATACATAATACCAGGTATTACCAAAAGTTCTTCAACGGCTCGACACCAGTGAGTTATTCGCAATCGTATGCTGCGAATGCCGATTTATACTAATGCTAGCCTTTCGACATAAGCTACTGTTCCTGGCTTTATATACATTTTTTTATAATTATGACTACAAATTTTTTTTATTGTGGCATTTTTTTAATTTCCCTACAAAGTTTGTAATGTGGATTCATATCGTGTTAAGTATTATATATTTAACTAGACTTAAATAAAAAAGTATTAAACATTAAAAACCGGAAGGAAAATATTCAAAACTCGTCAAGATGTAGTGTAGTGTAGTGTAGAGTCGATCTTCCACCTATCTCGGCAGCCAGAATGTCCTATCACAGAATTCGGTTCAAAAACGCCATATCTTAGCTGCCGATTCCAAAACGCCCTATCTCAGCACATTTTCAATGTATTTGCTGCTTAGATATGGCGTTTTTTAACCGAATTCTGAGATAGGGCGTTTTCGAACTGGCTGCCGAGGTAGGTCGATCTTCCACTAGAGTATCGATATATACATATGCATATGTACATATGTGTATTACAAAATTTAGACCGCAAAAAAGGATAAATACAATATTTTGGATAGTATCCATTTTTGGAATCAAAAAAAAAAAAATATAATATTATACTGCGAAAGGAAGAATAGATACGAGTGTTAGGCATGACTGGTGCTAATGTTAACCTTATACATACATATGTACATATATCTATTTTATCTTATTATATTAATTAAATTAAATTTATATTCCACAATTTGATTTAATAAAATTTTTCAAATAGATGGCAACACACCTCAAAAATAATTTTGGCAGTAAACTCTCTTAAGTCTCTTTATGTAGTTTAATACACATATTGTAATATTTAACTTATCTTATCAATGGAATTATATCCACAATTTTCAATTAAGTGGCAACCCTCCTCAAAAATATTTTGGGCGGCAAGCCTTTTTAAACCTCTTTAGTTTGATACCCATATTAAAATATTTAGTTTATTTTATGAATTAAATCAAATTAAATTTTTCAAAGAGGTGGCAGCACGCATCAAAAAGTATTTTTAGCAGTAAACTTTTTTAAACCTCTTTTAATGTGATACTCGTATTGGATTACTTAATTTATTTTATCGGTATAATAAAATTTTTCACACAGTTCTGTCATCAAAAATATTTTTAAGAAGGCTTATAACCTATTTAGTTTGGCACCCATAATAAAATAATAAATTTATCTTTTCTTTTTATTTAAAATCAAAAAATTTCAAACAGATGGCAACTCTCCTCAAAAATATTTTAAGCTTTAAGCCTGCTTAAATCTTTTTCTTGTGACACCCATATTAAAATTTGAAATTTAGTTTATCAATTTACTTAAACTAACTATCGGAAAAAATACTTTTGCTTATCATGCAGTTTACTGAAAAGTGGAAAAACGATATTTAATACGTGCGCCGGGTATATAAAAACTTCAATTTCGCCCGAACTTATCTACTTACTTGCTCAGCTTTGCCTTGCTCTAGAATATAATTGTCAATGACATGGAAAAAATATATGAAATTTTTCAAAATATTCCCTGACCTAACGATATGTTCGTGGTACACATCAGGTGGCCTTACCCAGTACTGTGTATGATTGAGCATTCCAAAAGTTGTCTGCTTCTCGTAAGGAAATTTTACCTAGGGTTCTTTGTAATATTCAGACTATTAAACATAACACCATAACTCGCTCTATTGCTGCGCCATTCTTCTAAATCCAACACACAAACACGCAAATACTTAATCGACAATTTTCCAAACTTTCCCAAAAATCAGCTAAAGAGAAACTATCAAAGTCACGATCGCTACTTGATCAATGTGAACGTTTACACAGGCGGGCGCAATCATCGATCAATGGCCAATCTCAAAGCAAAACGGCTAGCTGCACATAAATAAATAAACAACAACAGCAGAAAAATCAGCTTATTTACTTGCAATGTTGTGATTACTACGAGCTTAGTGAATTGACAGCGCAAGCAAGTATTCTCAACAAGACTAGGAAAGAAATCTATAAAAGCGCATTGATGGAGCTGATGAAAGGCATGCAAAGTGAATGCGAATTTGAATATGCAATTAGTGTTTGTTTGCGTGCTTGAATATCTGAACATGCACTAATACACATGCATGTATGTATGTATGTATGTAAGCAGTTGTGTATGTTTGGCTTTTCCTGATGTATTATATTACTAATCGTGTTGATCTTGCCGCTGATCTCTAACCTACCTGCAATCAGTGTTTAGCTGCGATTCTGTGTGTGGTGAATTCAAACACAAAACCATTTGTTGTACAACAATCAAGTGAACAATATTTATGTATGTACTTGCATCCATATACACAAACATACAAATTTAAATAAAATGTACTTAGTTAAATTGCTAAGAGCCGATAATTGCACTGTGATTTACTGATTATAAGTGTGGTGGGGTGCACATTTACATACATATATACATATGTATGTGTTTATTTAAGTGGCAAGCAATCATTGTATTTAGTAGTACACATTCAATGTGAAATTAAGTAGTTTAACGTAACATTTAGTAGAGGAAATATTTAGAATATTTGAAGTACATATACTTACATG